GATAAAGGAGGAACGCAACTTGCGAATGGCTGCGTCTTCCAGAAGTCGAATGGTCATTTTTGAAAACACAAGTAACAAATTTCCTGATCTGTATAGCCGTTATCGTTATGGCCGGGCTATTAAAAAATTAAGTTGAATGCGGACATCGTGATACGATCTTGAAATTGATAGCCAAAAATATAAATTGACCGTTATTATATGTTGTATATGCAAACCTTGCTTCTTTCTCTGTTCTTGCATTACAAGCAATGAATCGTCTCTTCGGCAACTCAAAAAAAACACCAAAACCCACTCTAGGTGATGCCATAACAGCGGTTGGTTCTTGGAAACTTTCTTGTTGATTCAACATTTTAGTATACTTTTAATAAGGACGTTATTTAATAGACTGACTCTCGGGTTGACGCAGTCGAGGTAAAGATAAAGAAGCTCGACGCGGAAATGTCCAGATACAAGGATCAGATGAAAAAAATGCGGGATGGACCAGCAAAGGTAGGAGACTTTATAAGTTTCAGCGGCATTTCGTGTCCTATCTCTATTAACTTTAATTTGCTTCAGAATGCCGTCAAGAACAAGGCGTTACGTGTCTTGAAGCAAAAAAAGATGTGAGTTATTGGTTACTCGGTTTCTTCGAAAATCTTATTTAATAACTGTCATTAACATTATTAAAATAAGGTATGAAACACAACGAGATCAACTTCAACAACAATCTTTTAATATGGAACAAGCTTCCTTCGCAACCGAGAATTTACGCAATGTGGCTACCACTGTGGACGCAATGCAAATAGCTAATAAAGAAATGCAAAAACAGTACAAGAAAATTGACATAAATAAAATTGAGGTAAAATCTCCGGAGGGGTCAATAGATTTATGTTTGTAAATCTAACGATGTCTATTTCTTTTAGAGCATTCAAGATGACATGGAAGATCTGTTGGAACAAGCCAATCAAATACAGGATTCACTCGGACGGACCTATGGTCTTCCTGAGGATATCGATGAAGAAGAATTAGAAGCAGGTAAGTCAAGGTCGAAAAGATCGAGATCATTACAATGCGTGTTATCTGAAATCTTAACGTACTCTATTCTCAATTGTCAATGTTCAGAATTGGACGCCTTGGGGGATGAATTGAGTCTTGAAGAAGAGGAACCATCATATTTGCAAGAGGCATCAATGTCAGATTTATCGCTTGGAGATTTAGAAAATGCTGAGGTAACTCCTCGTGGTATTTTCTCGATTATTTAATTAAGCGAAATTGGTAACAAGTTTTTGACGAATTTTATTTAGCTTGGAGATGGATTGTCAGAAACACCGGTAAAAAATGCTGCCCAATGAACTTTTGGATACATTCTCGGTTGGTGTTGACGAAATTATGTTTTTGATAAACTTTACATTTGCCTT